ATCGTACCCAAGTTCCCGAGTCGAGGCAACTTTGGTGATGACGGATACGTGGCCTTAGGCAAACGAGTCAGGATTTCCTAAATTTCCCAAAATAAAATATTTAGGTGGCGACTCTGTATCTGGCAAAGCAGTCCATGTTTGGCACTACTTTTTCAAAAATCTGTTTCTCAAAACGATTTGTCAGATTTGGACTCTTTGGTTCAGATTAAGAACCGTGACACAAATCGAGTCCGAACTGTAGCATGAGGCCCACGGGCGCGTCTACACCAACAATGCCCCCCTCATTTAAAACAAAACAAAAGATGTTTTTGTTTTGAATGAATGTCAGAAAGGACACAATAAGGTTTGGACACTTGCATATTTGGGCAGTTCATTCAAGCTAATAAAAACAAACCCACGTATTAAAGCCCAAATACTTATAATAACATCTAGATGCTAAAATTGATCCAAAACACGAATTAAATAAGCCCAACTATTAAGCCCAATTGTCAACAGACCAAAACTCAATCAGGAGGGTCCATCATAAGCTATTTGAATGTCAAAATTCAAATCATCACTTCACTACTCACTTTCCCTCTACCTTACTCTGTTCTTTGCCTCTTTAAACTTCCTACTTCGAAACCCTTTTTTTGCTCATACACTCCAATGGCACCCAAACGAGCTCAAACCAAAGGAAAGAAACAAGCAAAAACGGTACTTGTGCAACGTTTCCCAACTGAGTTCCAACAGCTAATCCGTCAACACATCTTCAACAGTTGTATTATTTCTCGCCGCGATAGTTCTGCACAAGGGGAATTGGGCCCTACTTTCACTGCAACTATTCCTAATGAACTTATTCATTATTATCCTATCGCAGAAACCGAAATGATGCTCTTCAATAAGGCAAAGCTGGCCTGGCATCATTGGGACTCAAGTCCTAACCCTTTGCGCTCATGGCAAAAACCTAACCTTGACTAGAGACTTTGGGTCCAGTGAATGATGGTATACGATATTGATCTTTGGAGGGCTTTAGGTATTTATGATGCTATTAGAGTGTCAACCTTTGCCCTAGACATGGACAAATGGGCCATCAGTGCTGCTGCCTGCTTTTGGTCTGTCTCCTACAATTTCCTTATCCTGAGGTGTGGTATGATTTCTCCCACCATTCTTGATGTCGTTCATTTAACTGGCCTCCCTATTTCTGACCAACATATCAGTACACTTTTAACCCCAAAAACACCTATCAAACTTGATACTGACCTTAGTTATGGAAAATTTCAAAGTAAATATCAAAAGTTTGGCCTTAAACCCTTAGATGAAGAAAGAACAGCCTTTTACCTATTGTGGCTTTCTCAACACTTCTTGTGTGTTCCTAGTTTTAAAATTACCAAGGAATACTTAGCTCTTGCCACATGAATTCAAGAAGGCATAGAACTGGCCTTTACTCCTTTTCTTTTAGGTACCTTGTATGGAGGTCTATTCTCTTTAGTTAATAAGGAAATTGATCATAACTGTGGTGGCCCCTTCTGGCTTTTTCAAGCCTGGCTTTATACTTATTTTCCTGAGATCAGGCCCACCACCCAAACTCCATACCTCTCAGTATGTGAAAGCTATGCTGATTTTTTCTCTCATTTAGACCAACTACCTCCAATTCCTTCACCAAGGTGTTCACCACTCTCTATGAACTACCTATTGACACAAATCCTCAACTTTTCATCCCCTTCCAACATTTCCACTTCACTTCATCCAGACTCACATATATTAATGCTGAGCCCCATACCCTAGATGATGACTGGAGACAAAAACAAAGAAGTTTTTGGGCTCGAATCCTTACTTCTAGATATATTCTAGTGAGAGGGTCTATCTCCACCAGTAGATTCCCAAACTGCAGCTTTAAGAGCTATAACCCTTGCCAATGGGCGACCAGGCAAATGGATTTATATCAAACTGTTCCTTGCCCTTATTTTCACCCCACAATTCATGAGCAAGTTGGGGCTAGACTTCAATTTAAAGACCATTCAGATGTGAGGCTTTCTTAGCTGAGAATCAAAAATTATTTGATCAGTTTAGCTTCTACTACTACAACACCACACCACACCTTACCTCATTATAAGATTCAAAAAATGGTGGCTTCTCATGAGTGCATTAATTTTTGACAAGGAAATTCAAGTCTGCCTCTAGAATGTGCATCCTGACAATAGGAAATAAGTGGAAATAAGCATTGGTAAACACTTGTACTCCCTTTTTACTTCTACCTATTATTAAAATTGCTTTCTTTAGGTGTGCAGTGGTACTAACTTGTCATGTTTCTCATGCAGCAAAGTTTCTTGTCAAGGTCACTCATTTCGCCATAGAGATGCTTACTTAGGCTGTTCTAGCTCCTAGAGACAAAGGCAAGGCTCCAATGAACCCATCAAAGAAACCCAAAGGCAATCCTTTGAACATAACTAGCTGTGAAGGGTTCACACCTTACAACCAAGGTGTTGATATTGAAAGGAGAACTAAGAATAGACAAGAGGAAATTCAGGAAATTCTATCCTCCCAGCCAAGATTAGAGGGAGGTGCAGCCCCTGAGAGGAGGTCAAAAAGAAAACAAGAACAACCAGTTCTTCCTCAAGCCACTGCTCTTGTTGCACCAGCCTCTTCCTCCTTTAGTAGTTCTTCCTCCTTTCTTATAATGGTATAATTTTCACTCAAGCTTTTGTTAAACTACTACACATTATGTTTAATGTACTGACACTCTATTCCACTTTCCTTCATCTCTTTTTGACATACTTTCAAACATACAAGAGGAGAAGACTTCTCTCTCCAGCTGCATCTCCTTCTTCTTATGAGGAATTGCCTAAAACCCAGACCAATCTGCCCCCTTCTTTGCCTGAGAATGAAGAGTTTCCTGAAACTCAGATCAATTCCCTTTCTATGCTTGTAGACCAGACCAAACTGTCATCTCCTCAACCAAACCCAGAACACCAACATCTCTATCATGAAGAACAAATTAGTCAAGAGAGTACAGGCCTAAGAGAATTGGCTCCTGAATTAGCCCAAATTAGTCAAGAGAGTACAGGCCTCAGGGAATAGCTTTAGGAGACTTAATGGCCTTCCCTCTCATAGGGGTGCACCATGGAACAAATGAAATCATTAATTTCCCTGGTATGGCCTTTTCATCCTCAGAAGAATCAGAAACCCTTGGCCATACCAGAAAAACTCCAGCTGACTGGGGCCATGTCAAAGAGACTCTCATTGACTTAATTGACAACCTTGATAGCCATATAGCTCTGGTTGACAAAAGTCCCCCTGTCTATGACCTTGTCTCTAAACAAATGATAACATTCATCAAGACAGTCATGTTTCATTCTACAACCAAGGGAACGAGGCTGACAGAGCTGACACTAAAGTATTGGACAATGAATCAACTTCAAGTGACATGAGAACTCCTCATGAGGTGCTTACACAACCTGTTCACTCCCCCACTACCTCTATCCAAATACCTTCATTCCATCCACCTTCACCAGTAGATGCCCCCTTACCAGTCCATACTGAAATTCCTATGAGTCAAGGGGCTTGCCCAAACCAATCACTTTGGACATGGGGGCTCAAACTTCTTACATTCATGGCCCTATCAGAGAGCCAAACCCAGATGTCCTAGCCACCAATACTTCCACTGCTCAGACATTACCAATACAAGTAATACTTTTCTCACTAATATACATCTTATCTTTTCATATTTTCTATGTGGCCTAATAATCTTTCTTTATACTGTCTTGCAAGACCACTATATTTTCTCAAATATCACTGACTACTAAAATGGAGGTACAAACCACACCAACCCAAAATCCTTCAAAGGAGGCCTTGACCGTCTCCATCCTTCCCTATATTGGAGCTGCCACCATACCTTCGACAGAAGTAACAACACCTCAAATTACTTTCTATTTTATATTGTATGTTACTTTTTGTTCTTTTAAATTTATACCAGTTGTTAACTTCACTTTATTACTGTCACAGCCTGCAGTTGTCTCTCCTTCCACAATTAAAGACTGGCTTCTTGGCATTTCTGTTGTACAAGAAACTGTTGCCAATCTTTCTATCGAAGAAAGAGTAAAACAACTGACTGGTGAAGATTAAAAATTGGTGGATCAGTTCTTCAACTTACTTGACCAACCCTTGGATGATCTGGCTCTTTCTCACACCATAGTTCTGACTGACTACCTAGAGGCCATTGCACCTCTAGTGCCTCAGCTCTTTGATCCAGACCAAGTGTAAGCTTTCCAGAACTTCCTTTCCGAACTTTCATAATACTTAATAGCTATCAATCAATTTCATTCTGAGCCAAAAACTACTAAAACTCAAATGGATCAAATGAAAAAAGCAGTCACTACTCTGACTGAAGCCTCCACCAAATCACAAGCCCTTAGTCTTCAACTTGCTAATCTCACAGTAGAAGAGGCCCAACTGGAAGCTCAACTAGCTCCTGTGAGGGCTCAGAAAGCTACTACTGAACAAGAACAAGCCAACCTTTCTCAACAAATTCCAATTCTTCTTGTTCAAGAAGAAGGTGGCCCACTTGTGATTAAGAAGGCTTAAGCCAAACTTAGGCAAAATAAAATTAGGCACCAAACTGCCCTTCAAGCCTGGAATAGACTTTCAATGTACTTTCAAAAAGATTAGGCCAAATGTATTTATTTTGATTGTACTCTTGACACAACTTTAATGAAAGATCTCTCTTAGTTACTCTGGTTTCTCTTGGCTTGTTACATATACTCACTCTTATGCTTTTATGACTTATTCATGCATTCCCACATAGTTGGATAGTATTTCTTTAGGTATTTACCATTAATAGCTCTTATGTGTGGTTCACCTTCCAAAGAAGCAAGATGATAGATAAGCTCCTCCTCTAAGGACCTTATGTATTTTAAATGGACCTTCCCAGTATGGAGACCACTTGCCATATTCTGGGCTTTTTAAACCAATTGGTAAAATGGTTTGCCACACTAATTCTCCTTTAGAAAACACTTTACTTTTCACTTTCTTGTTATAGCTTCTCTCAACTTTCTTCTCTGAGCTATCAAGTGATTAAAGGCCATAATTCTTTTTTCCTCTAAGTCTTGCAACTCAGTCGATATGGCTTCTGCATATTCATCCATAGGAATATCCAAATGCTTGGCCAGTCGATTGAACCTCACTGTTACTTCTAGAGGCAACACAGCATCATGCCCATACACCAACTCATATGGAGTTGTTCCTGTGCTATTCCTTTTTGAGTTTTTATAAGCCCAAAGTACTTCTGACAGGAGATTATGCCAATCCCTGGGATTATCCTCAATCATCCTTTCCAAAGTGTTCTTCATAATTTTGTTTGTTGCCTCAACTTGTCCATTTGCCTAAGCATAATAAGGTGAGGAGTTTAAAATCTGAATGCCATATTCTATGGAAAACTCCTTAACCCCATCCCCATTGAACACTGTGCCTTGATTGACAGTAATAGATTGGGGTAAACCAAGCTTATGGATCATATTCCTTTTTAAGAACTCAATAACTTGAGTCTATGTCACCACTTTTAAAGGTATTGCTTCTACCCATTTGGTAAAGTAATCAGTAGCCACCAATAGGTAAGAATGTGCTTTTGAAGAAGCTAGAAAAATTTTCCCTATCATATCCATGGCTCATCCTCTGTAAGGCCAAGGTTTCACTACTGACTGAAGATTTATGGCTGGAACTCTTTGAATATTGCCATGCGTCTGGCAATTCTGACATCTTTTTGCATACATTATGCAATCTTTTCTAATGGATGGCCAAAAATAACCATACCGATTAATCAACCATCTCATTTTATCACCAGCCTGATGGGCTCCACAGATTCCCTCATGTGCTTCAGCCATGGCTTTTATTTGGTCTGACTTACCAATACAAAGTAAAATCAAACCATCATGAGCCTTCCTAAATAAGTCATCTCCCATGACAACATAATTTAGGGCTAGATATCTTACTTGCCTATTACTCCCTTCACTAGGATTCAACAGGTATCTTATTAAAGGAAACCTTCAATCTTCCTCTGTCACATCTAAAGTAAAAATAGGCAAGAAATTTCTACACCTATTCCTAAGTGCAGAAAAGTTTCTTCTCTTAATTCAAATCACCTTTTCCTAAGCTCCTTTAGGTATTTTTAACCCAGAAACTGCTTGAGCCATCTCATTGGCCTCTTTATTCTCTAATCTATATTTGTGTGTGAATGTGACATGGTCAAAGAAACTGATTAACCATTTGACCTCAGCTAGATACTCCTCTAAAGCACCACTTACACACTTGAATTCTCCCAAGACTTGCTTAATGATCAACTGTGAATCCCCAAAAACTTTAAGACTTCTATTTTTGAACTCTATGGCCAACTCTAGGCCAATTATCAAAGCTTCACACTGAGCTTGATTACAAGACTGAATATGTTGTGCTTCCAACTGATATGCAAATTGGTATATTTGCTTATTTGGTGCAATCAACACAAAACCTACTCTCACTCCTTCATTTGTCTTTGAACCATCAAACATCAACTTCCAAGGTTCACTCTCCACCATATTGATTTAATATAAATCTAAATTGACAGATGTGTAAGGGTGTTTTGTCAAAAAATCAGCCAAGGCTTGCCCTTTAACTGTTTTTTGTGGCACATACTTGAAACAATATTCAATTAATGCTAAGATCCTTTTATCCTGTCTTCCTCTCGAGATTGGTTTAGATAACATGTACTTAATAGCATTTGTTTGTGCTATCACAAACACTTTTGTGGGCAACATATTATGCCTTAGTTTAATGGCTGTAAAGTAAAGTGCCAAACATAGTTTTTCGATAGAGTTATACCTAGTCTCGGCATCATTTAACCTTCTACTTAGGTAGTAAATGGTTTGTTCATGACCCATATCATTTTCTTGAGCCAATAAACAACCAATCGACAGGTCAAAAGCTAAGATGTACAACCTCAAAGGCTTTCCTTCCATTGGGGCCATAAGCATGTAGACACCCCATTTTTGACCGACCTTAAGACTCAGACGTCACCGGTTGAGCGCTTGGTGATGTTGCATATCGTGCTCGTTCGGAAGTCGCGGAGTCTCGGCTGCGAGCCTTGCCTTCGGACTTTCGGACTCTTTCACGCCTTACCTCGGTTTGCGAACCAGGCATGGTTTTCTCTGTTTCTCTTCCCAAAGAGAGGGAGAGGTCTCGTAGATCATCTCTCAGTGGCCGTAGGCTACGTTTCATGGTCATAGGCCATTTTTCCCGTTTGGAGTCCGGTTTCCGATTTTTCGGAATCGTTGCCCGTGCGCCTCGGTTCGGGACCGCTTAACCATCTCCGTTTGCTCCGATTTTTGGCATACTTCTTATTTGCTCCCTTTTGAGGGACACTGTGGTCCGAGAGACTGACTTCGTGGTCGAACACCACTCCCGGTGCCTAATAGCCAGTTTTCGGGGCCTCGGGCTACGCGTTTCGGCCCCCGAACCCTCATTTTGCGTCGGTTTTGGTTCGTTTTTGGCAGGGACCTCTGTTTCATTGGTAAGAAGGCCGTAGAAGGGTGGGAGGCCAGCAATTGTTCAGACAACCAGTTTTATTCCTCCATCGCCCTCCGTCGCCCGTTTTTCCTCACTTCAAAGCCAATGTTGACCACCCTTGGGCCATTTTCTTGAACCCTAAACCCCATATTTGTGATGTACACATCTGGGAGGCCACCAATATTTGTTGTTGAACCTTTTGAACCCCTTTGAAAAGTGGGTTGTTCTCTCTCCTGATTCACTATTTCCAGTGTTTAACCATAGGGTTGCGTTGTGCACACATCAAAGGCTCTCTTTTTGGGGTGGCCGGCCACTAATGCTTCTTGACCCTTTTGACCCCTAGCCGGCCGGCCATGGGAGGTAGCCGGCCGGCCACCTAAACCCTAGATAGCTGGCCGGTCATGATCCTTGCACCCTATTCCTTACAGTTGTATATTCTGTTTCCCCGCAGATTGTGTATCCGGGGGGGTGCATTTTTGGAGGGAAACTTGGATTGTTTTCCCTCCATTTTTTCCCCCCTTTTTCCCCCCTTTTTGTCTATATAACAGCAGCTCCAGCTCTGTTATTAGGGTTACAAAATTTCCCCCAAGCCTCTTGCCTTGTATCTCTCATTCTCTATATTTCCAAGCTCCAAACTCTTAAGTCCTACACCCATTCTTTCACCAACCCATAGCCCCACCCTTCCATCCTCCATTCCAGCAGCTGGAGGTTGTTCTTTAGAGCCTAGGAGTGCTGCATCTCAAGCCAAGAGGCTACCAAAGACTAGTCTTCAAGGGTAAGCTCCATTTCCCCCTTTTTGGTCCATATTTTGCATGCTTTCTTAGCCATACTTGCTTGCTGTTTTGGGCTCCGACCCTAACTGGAACTAGGCTTTTGAGCTATTTTTCATGTTTGTTTAAGGGTATTTACCTGTTTTAGGTCTCCTTGTTGCACTTGCTTCATTACCCCTCTTGTATGCCATTTTCTTGTGTAGTATTTTTGGCCTATGTGTAAATTGTTTTGAGGCATGTCATAAACTGTAATGTCGCTTATTTTGAGCCTTTCTTCAATGTTGTTGAAGGGCTCATCACTGTTTGAGGCTTATATCTTCCACTTGCCTTTATATCCCTTTTTTGGCTCCATTTTTGCATGATTTATTAGCCTCTTGTGCTCCTGTTTTTAGGCTCTGGTACGAACTTAAAACAGCCTTATTTTGACCCCCTCTTCATGTTTCATTAAGGGTCTTTCATTGTTTGAGGCATCCTTTTTATACTTTGTGTTATAACTCTCTTTTTGGCCTTATTTTGCATAGCATTTTGAGCATTCTTGTACACTGTTTTGGGTCTGGCCACCAACTGTAAAAGGTCATATTTTGGGCCCCTCTTCAACATTGTTGAAGGGCCCTCATCTGTTTGGGGCCAGCATCTATGACTTGCTTCTTTATCTCACATTTAGGGCCATTTTTGCGCATCGGTTTAGCCCTATTTGTGTTTGCTGTTTCGCCTCGCTTAAAGCTGTAAACATGCTTGTTTTGGGGCTGCCTTGAATCTGTCATCATACTTCATGTACAAATAATGCATGCTGGAGGTAGCTACAAGTCATTTCATGTACTTAATCTTGCATTTCGGGACCATTTCGTGCATCGGGTGTTATATTGTCATGATTCGGGGCTGTTTCGGGTCATATTTTAGCACTGAAATTTGCATGTTTGCATATCATATTTCATGCCTTGCCATGTCTTGATAGAGTGGCATTTTGTGCCTTAGGGTCGGTCCTCGGTTTGCGTGCACGTGTGCGCGCATCTCGAGTTGTCTCATTTTCATCTTATGGCCTCTTATGTGAGTGTGGCTGAGGTCCACTTGTGTTGGTGTAAGTCCATTGTGCATTGTGTATGCCATTTTATTTCATAGCATTGCGTATGCTAGGTTGTATGTTAGCGCATTGTGTATGCCATGTTATCTCGTGCATCGTGTATGCCATTTCATAGCATTGTGTATGCTAGGTTGTATCTTAGTTGCATATCATGCATATGGCATCGTGTTTGGGATAGGAGTTAGCCGGAGCACGGGAAACGAGGTACGTTTCGTACTCCGAGTGACGGAACGTGTCTCAATTCCAAGTCACCGACACTCCGGATCATCCATGATGGAGTTAGGTCTTGTTGTGTTTATATGTGCATTCATTCTATATTGAGTTGCACAATTCGACTCCTCGGCCATCATGCATCGAGATGCGTGATTGGTGGCGCGAGGATCGAGACATGCATACATTTGTGAAAATACATTGCCATGCCCTTTTCCTGCTCTCTGTTGCAGCAAATCAAGAATCAGCAGCCTTCCAGAGCTTGGCACGCATTCCAAGAATAAATTGCAAACAGAGACTAATCTGGGCATCGTCGTGGATTCCCGCGCAAGGCAACCCGAGCATGCATCATTCACCATTCATCAGAGTCAAGGCAGTCCCTGGCTTGCATGCCAGTTTATTATTTTTCTTAGTTAATTTGTAAATTAATTAGGAATCTGTATTATTTGGACTCTGTATTATTTTTATTCGGGACTGTATATTATGGACCTGTACTATTCATTCGGACCCTCCGTGCGAGGGCACAACTGTAATAAGTGTGCGTGTGTGTGATGCATGTCTTCCAACCCCACGTCTTTCTCCCTTTTATTTACCTGCTTACGATGGTTAGATTAGGGCATATTTCAATTAGCATACAGTATGATAGCATGTTTGCATTCATTCATCTGTTTTGCATGCACCGGGATCGGCGCATCATACTAACTGCATGGTATTTTTAATTCCAAATTGAATACATGTTAGTTGTAGCATTTCATATGCCATGTTTAGAATAGCCGAGCCTACTATAGTTGCACTTTTGCATGTGTTGCATTAGGCATTTCTGTATAATTAGGGTCATGCATGGATTTCTAATTAACTTCTATTTTGGCTTGGAGTACTCGGTAAGTTTTATGCTTTAGCATCCTTGCATGCGTGTGAGTGACTGCCATGAATAGCATGCTTACCATGAGGCTATTTGCTTATGTGATATAACTGCCTGAATGCCTGTGGGTGAAAGTTGGGTTATTTGGATTGGAACAAATCATCAACTGTGAGTTTTAAGCCCACTAGATAGTGCAGCAAACATCTTTTCTTAAGCCCACCTGAGGGTGGCAAAATCTGCATCTTTAAGCCTACTTGTGAGTAGCAAACCATCTTTCAAAAAAAAACAACTGAAATGTTTTGTTCCAATTCAGGCGATCCAGTCTATACTTGTATGCTGTGCGCATCACATAGTAAATCTAGGCTAATAACCGAGATAAGAACACACAATGTTTTCAAAACTAGATATCATGATTAGTAGAGGCCGATCTTTGATCGGGCGAGCGGGGGTGCTCACGAAGTGACCTTCCCCAATCGTACCAAGTCCCGAGCCGAGGCAACTTTGGTGATGACGGACACGTGACCTTAGGCAAACGAGTCAGGGTTTCCTAAATTTCTCCCAAAATAAAATATTTAGGTGGCGACTCTATATCTGGCAAAGCAGTCCATGTTTGGCACTTCTTTCAAAAAATCTGTTTTCTCAAAACGATTTGCCGGATTTGGACTCTTTGGTTCAGACTTAGAACCGTGATGATTTGAGAGTCCTGAGCTGTAGTGACCCCAAATGAACAGAACGGGGACTCGATCCTCCCGGGCTGCGTTCGGGGACGTCTACAAAGCACTGGAGGGTTTACCAAATACTTTTTGAGTAAATCAAAAGCTTCTTGATGGCATGCTTCCCACTTAAATTCATGATCTGACTTGATTTTTATCAAAGGAGAAAATGCTAAAGTTTTCTTAGCTAAATTAGCTATGAACCTTCTCAAAAAATTAATCTTTTCAAGAAAACTTTGCAGCTCTTTTTTGTTTGTTAGGGGTTTTGCCTCTAAAATCGCTTTGGCCTTATTAGCATCCATTTCTATCCTCCTATGGTGTACTAAAAAGCCCAAAAATGTCCAGCAGATACCCCAGATGCACACTTTAAGGGATTCATTTTGAGTTTGTAAGTTCT